TACCAAAATCCTACTCTGTGACTCCAGCTGCACAACCTTTATCCTACTAGAATCAGCCATGAGGCAGTCATGCATTGCACTGGCATGTAGGCCAGAGAAGAGGACCACTACCAGGGTCAATAGAAGCACAAGGATTCTGTCACTGGAACCTAATCTTTTTGTCAGGATGGGCTGGATCTTTGTAATGTGTGGTGGACTACTGAATGCCAAGTGATTGTAGAGAAGCACCCTCACTCAAAACTGACTTTGTTCCCCACCCCAGATGTCACGGGTATAGACAGCTTCCTGTTCCATCTGAAACTTGTTTGAAGAAGGCTGAGCTCTGCAGCATTCCTAGACTCTTCGTCGTCCTTTGTTCCTGACTTCTGGCTTGTTGTAACATCTTGTCTCCTTTTTTTTTTTTTTTTTTAACTTTCTCTTCAATTCTAGCAACCAGATTTCCCTGATTCTTGTCTCACCTCAGATAGCTGCCCACCACCAAGTTCTGACAGCCAGGAAATGAATGCATTGGGCACCCCTTTGCCACTTTCTCAGCTCAATCTAACTCAGAAGGCTATGGTGCGGATCAGAAAAGGAGGACATGTGCCATAGTGAGCTCCTTGCTCAGATAACAAAAACATTTCTGCATGGTTAGCAACGGCGTATGCACTGCATTTTAAATAATGCAGAACAAAATCCAGTGACTAGCTAGATCTTCCCAGAACATACCATGAGATGTGCAGGGGAAAAATAGAACAATTACACTTTAAACAATTTGTGCAAATAAATGGATGGGGTAGACACATTAATAAATATCTACACCGTACTGTGTGATCTTGAGAAGGCACTACACACATTGCATTTTTTAATTCATCATGATCCCATCTGTAGTAAAAGCATGTGCAGAACCTCTCTTGGAATATGCATAAGTGGTTTAGAGGAACAGGACTAGATTAATTTAACAACTTGCAGGAAATGTCCTTTGCCCTTTCCTCTTCCCAAATTAGAACCATGAAGGAAAGAAAGAAATGTATCAGGACGTCTGCAATACTTCCTCATAAAGCAAGGATGTGCACACAGAGTGTTTAATTTTGAAGACTAGGTCATGTGTTCCAACCATTCCCTCTCTATATATAATTCATGCATGCACAGATCTTTCATACAGATCCAGCATATTTGGTTGCAGCACTACCATATATATATATTGAGACATATATACTGTATTTTTCCATGTATAAGACTATACTTTTGTCTAAAATCTTTAGACTAAAAATTGAGGGTCGTCTTATACATGGAAGTAAGCTGAGGAGAGAACAGAAACAAGTGGAGGGGAAAGCAGGGATCAAAGCGATCCTGCAGTGCTTTGATCCCTTTTCCCCTACACTTGCTAAGCCCCACTTAGAATTCTTAATTTTGGATTAGAAAAGTGGGGGGCGTCTTATACATGGGGTGTTATACATGTAAAAATATGGTATGTGGTAGTGATGCAACCAAATATGCTAGATCTGTATGAAAGATCTGTGCATGCACCTAACTCCACTGAGCTGCAATAGCACTGCAAACCTACATTTGTCTCATTCTCACATGCAAGAACACATGTGGGAACAAGCTGTTGCATTTTTTCCTCCTTGCCTACAAGACAGCCAAATATTTTCTGCAGCTCTCAGAGAAAGTTCTTGTATTTGTGAGAATGCTTTTGCACAAATTGAACAGTTTGTACACAGTTACCGCAACTGAACAATCCTAAGCTAGCTCCACTCTTCTTGCATGGATTTCTAAAAATCAAAAGCACTGGATGGGTTGTTCATGTCTTAATCTATCAGCCATTTCTATGCTAGCTGAATTTATGTACATTGCTTTATACAGAGAAAAGACGAATACACACAAAGGCATGTTGCACAAATTGTAGAACCCTCAGCCTAGTGAGGGAAGTTGTCATTGTCTCATTTTCACATGATAGGCACAAACTCTTGTTGAGATTGGGGATTCAATGCATACAACAACAAACATAGCAACATGTGATTCTAATGTTGAAGGAAGAGAGTGTATTAGCCCTCTGCCTTCCCTTGGTTGTATCGCTGTCTGAAGATGGGGACACTGCTGTACCTAGATAGCCTCTTCACACAAGCCAACTCCCACCTGCATCAGAGTTCTGCCCCACATGGAGGATATGTAAAGTTGTATATACAACGACAGCATGCAACACCCCAGTTGAAGAAGAAAAGTAACTCATTCTTTAACCCCTCCAGCTTAGAGTACTCTTAACATACTGTCCAGGTGCTATCTCTGAAAGCAAGACTTCCTTCACTCGCTCTGTGATGCCGCACTGTTTTCTGTGGCTAGCAAAACGAACCACACTGGTGGCTTAATACAGGTGTAGGGGAGGATCTACCTGAAATTTGGGGAGGGACTGAGTTTCCCTCCTTGTTTGGTCCATAAACTGCCTCCATAGAGCATATTACTTTGGGTCTGTATTAGAGTATAATGAAGACGGTACATTCCTTCCCAATGGAATGAAAGATCATATTTTTAAGTTTCCTCTTTTTACAGGAGCAAGCCAGTTTTGGTGGCGCTGCGGGTTAAACCGCTGAAGCCTCTGTGCTGCAAGGTCAGAAGACCTGCAGTCATAAGATCGAATGCACGCGATGGAGTGAACCCCCCGTCGCTTGTCCCAGCTCCCGCCAACCTAGCGGTTCGAAATGATACAAAATGAAAAAATGCAAGTATATAAATAGGTACCACCTTGTTGGGAAGGTAAACAGCGCTCTGTGTCTAGTCACACTGGCCATGTGACCATGGAAGATTGTCTGCGGACAAAACACTAGCTCTATGGGTTGGAAACAGAGATGAGCACCGCCAACTTGAGTCCGCCACGACTGGACAAATTGTCAAGGGGAGCCTTTACCTTTACCTTTTTACAGGAGCAAGCCAGTTTTCCTGTAACCAACAGCCTTAACTCACCAGGCTGTAGGCTGACTTTTTTTTTAATTGTGTTTGCATGGCTCCCAAGCTACAGTAGCAGGAATAGGTAGTGGTGGGGCTGGAAGAAAGCTAGGCTGCAGCCATGACACTGGGTAAGAGGGAAATTGCTGCAGGAGTGTTACGTCTGTACAGACTTAAACAATTATGGTGTGGAAAAGAGGGAGAAAAAGAGAAGAGATTTAGTGCCGGTGTCGCCTTCCCTTCCCTTTCCTCTCCCCCCCCCTCCCCAAGCCTAGTGTTTCCAACTTGACACACTTCACCTCCTTCTGTGTTTTTATTAGCTGGTATTCTCAATACATCAGCGACAGCTATGATGAAACCAGTGGCAGATTTTCCTGCAAAGCAGCTGGGTCATTGTCCCAGGGGCCTTGTTGCTTTTACCATGCAAGAGATCTTAAAGTGACCATGCCTGGATCAGCTGCTGTTTTGAACGTGCCTGAATAGAAAGGGTCGGAAGTGTAAAATACGGGAGCAGGCGGGGCTCATGCGGTTGGAGTACACCGAGGTTGGGATCCTGCTCACATCAATGGGCCAGGCGTTGCACTCTGGCAACAAGGACTGAGCTGTTCAATTGTGTGATCGGTTGTGCGATTCCTGTTGCAACCAACTCCTCAATGCAGTGGCAGAAGTGCTTTGGGAATTGCATTTCTGCCTTGGCACAATGAGAGCTACTGTCGGCATGATACCAAAGTAGACTGCGTAGCTACACAATCAGATTTCAGCTCCTGTTAGGAAAACGTTGGAGACACTGAAGGATCACAACAGTGGTTAAACTGCTGAGCCGCCGGTTGTTGATTGAAAGGTTGGCAGTCTGAATTCACGCAACAGGATGAACTCCCGTTGTTTGCCCCGGATCCTGCCAAACTAGCAGTTTGAAAGCATGGAAATGTGAGTAGATGAATAGGTACCATCTTGGTGGAAATGGTGTTCCATGTCTAATCATAAGCTAGCCACGTGACCACGGAAAGCGTCTACAGACAAACACCAGCTCTTCGGCTTACAAACGGGGATGAATACCAGCCCCTAGAGTCGGACACGACTGAACTTAATTGTCAAGGGGCACCTTTACCTAATAGGGCCATGTTACTCAGCATGGTCAAAACTCCCAGACCCGTGGCATTTCTGATGCAAGACACTGTGATATGTCTGTGAGGAAAAGTGGTGCTTTTGCCGATCACCAGAGAAATCATGTTAAACAATAAAAAACAACAGGTTCAGAACCACAGCAACCCTGTTGCTTTCAGGTGTCATGAAGAATGCTGTCTCTCCATCAGTGTGAAGAAACATTCTTTTGCAAGGCCATTTTATCTATCTATCTATCTATCTATCTATCTATCTATCTATCTATCTATCTATCTATCTATCTATCTATCTATCTATCTATCTATCTATCTATCTATCTATCTATCTATCTATCTTAGTTACTTTTATACTTAGAAGGTGAGGCCTCACTAAATGGTGGACACACATCACACGGTCCAGTTCTGCTTCTACTGTTCCTGTGCTGCTGAATTGTCAAGATCCAGCCACATGTATCCTGTGCATTTCATCTGATCATGCAGTGCTTTGTTGCATGAGCAGAGACACATTTTCTGCAAAGGTACCCAGGACTTCTGTGTTATCTATCTGTTCAGTTACTTTTTGAGAAACAGGCAAATAATGAGTTACTTTTCAAAAGGGTACCAATAGTGGCAACTGCTGTTTTTCAAAGGTGGCCTTGGATCTTTAGCTAACTAATTACTTTCTAACAGTAACTAACTAATTACTTTTGTGAGAAGTGGATGGTCGTGATCCATGAAAGCTTGCAGATTGCATGGTGCTTTTAAAGTGGTCCATAAAGGTATCACCTACTCTTGCATTTGGATTTTGTATTGATCACACTGCTTCCTTTTATTTCAATATATGATGGGTTTATCATTTACTGCAACCTTGTTTTATGACTTATGGAGTCAATGATGAGTAATGGAAGCAAGCGCCAGTTGGGTAGAGGGAGAAAGAAGATGGACAACTTACTTAAACATGAATGCCATCTCACTTACCTGGAACCGGCGCATATCTCGAGGGTTCCCAGCCGTTTTCAAACAATTCTGATTGCACTTGAGGAAAAATTTTAAGAAGAATCTGTAGAGGGAAAGAGAGAACATGTGTGACATCCCTCATTTAAAAGTCGGCCTCTGGTATTATTTACTTGCTTTGTGCTGATATGATTATGCCTCATGGCGGAAGCCATTGGGGATAGATCAACAGAATCTTTTAAAAAAGGATGCTGTCAATTAAAACAGATTAAAATGATGTTTCTGGCTGAATCTCCTGGTTCTGCAAAATAATGCCTAACATTATTAGAAACCAGAGAAGCTGCAAGTATTTCCACTTACAGTCGAGCGAAGGAAAATATGAGGGCTATAAAAATAAAGAAGAAACGTATACGTTTTCGCCTCTTCCTCAATTAGGAGAAAAGTTTGTGTAGTTGGAAATGAGTATGTATAGTATTCCACAAGTCTAAACGGCATTCACATGTTAAATGGCAGCAAAACTGGATTTCTTGTTAATCTACACCCTCCATGAGAAATTCTGATGTTCTGTTGAATACGGTATCAGTACAATACAAATGCTTCTAGGACTTGTAGATCAGTGGAAGAACAAATGCTCTGGATATACAAGGATCCAGCTTCAATTGCTGGCATCTGAAGAAGCTCTCAAGAAGCAGATATGGGAAAGATCTCCTTATTAGGAATCTGAAGAACCACTAGTGGACATAGTGGGAAATGCTTAAAGAAATGGAAAGATCTCCTTATTAGGAACCTGAAGAGTGGACATAGTGGGAAATGCTTAAAGAAAGGAACTTGAATCAAATGCATTGCCCAATATCCTGCTACATTGCTCTGCCTGGGCAACTGGCATGACATCATTGCCATCAGACTGCCATCAGTTTTCATTATGACATCACTCTCATTCTTCTCTGTTCCACTCTCCTGTCCCCAGGAGCTATGCAACAGGATACTTGTCAATATAATAAATCCAGCATCCTATTGTAGAAATGTGGAGCAGAATGGCAATCACGTCCCGTCCGAGCAGACCCTACACCATTGTCCTACTAAGGCACACCCTACTCAAAATCAATGTGAGGAAAGTCATGCGGTGGGAGCCAGCAGGAGGGTCAATTACACAACTGACATTCTGCTGTACATTTCTGCAATAGGATATCAGCCATTGCAATTAATTACTAATGTAACAAGGGACGTGGTGGCGCTGCGGGCTAAACCGCAGAAGCCTGTGCTGCAGGGTCAGAAGACCAAGCAGTCGTAAGATCGAATCCACGTGACGGAGTGAGCGCCCGTCGCTTGTCCCAGCTCCCGCCAACCTAGCGGTTCGAAAGCATGCAGATGCGAGTAGATAAATAGGGACCACCTCGGTGGGAAGGTAACAGCATTCCGTGTCTAAGTCGCACTGGCCATGTGACCATGGATGATTGTCTTCAGACAAAACGCTGACTCTATGGCTTGGAAAAGGGGATGAGCACCGCCCCCTAGAGTCGAACACGACTGGACAAAAAAAATTGTCAAGGGGAACCTTACCTTTACCTAACAAGTCTACCCCGTGTGAACAGATCTCAAATCAGGCACAATCAATATAATTAGCACAATTATATCAAAATAATCTAAAACGGTCCAAGTACTCTAAACAAGTAAATTTCCAAACAAGACAATTTCTTTTAATATGCTTTTTAAATAGATGTAAACATTTTTATTTCACTCAGTGGTTATTTTAGTATGACTATGATTAATTGCCTTTTACTATAATAATGTATTATCCAATCTATGTTTGTTTTTTTACATATTCTCTAAGCTATAACAGTAATAGTATTATTACTATTTTTAATGAAGCGATTTTAAAGAGTCCTTATTTTGGGAGAAGGGTGGCTTATAGTGTACATAAAATACAAAAATAAATAAATACAATGCACTAACAAGCCTTTTATTTTAAAAAAAAAAGCTCCAAACACTCTAGTAGGGGGTGAAATTTCATTGTCATCAGCTAGAATGAAAAAAATAGAGAGATTTGCTTATTGGGTGAGCAGACACGTGAGGTGGAGCTTCAAGTATTATTTTATACGATCATTCCTGTTGCACATCAGTGGTTTTAAAAAATAAAACAAGACATCACGTGTTACAATATTAAAACTATAATTCGCTCCATTACTTTCTGTTTCTGTGTCTCTTCTCTTATTTTCCATTGGAGGAACTATTTGCAAAAGACTAGGATGATGCTTGATGCTGGTTTTATTGATTTTATCATGCTTGTTTTGCCCTGTTTCCCCCCTGCCCCTGATGTTAGGTTTCCATTTTAAACTTCTTTTTTGATACTGCATTTTCAATTTTCTTATTTCAGATTGCCCAAAGTCGATAAGTAATGGTCAGATTTCAGATGCCACACCGTTTTATTTGTGAGGTGTTACCCAAAGGCACCTTTCCTTTCCCCGGGATAAAAGCAACAAACAAACAAAGCAGGTGAAGACAAGAGAGGGAGAATTCTGCTTCTGCCTGGCCAACCATGGGGCTTTCTCACTGCACAGTGTACACTAATAAGGCTCAGTAAGGTAACCCTAGGCGTATAAAAATGAACAGAATTGCAGGAACCTAATGGGACTGAATCAAAATTGTAGCCCCAACTTGTACAGTACCCTCATTGAGTCAATGAAATTCACAAAACTATTGACTTGCCGTTCAGTCCCTGATTCAATGGGTCTAATCTGGTCGGGATTAGCAACTGGATTTAAAATATTGCCTCCCTTTCAAGCAGAATGACTGTCTCAAAACCACCAGACAGACATTGTGTAATATAATTTCGCCTGCACTCATTAATGCTGCCAATTTGGAGGAATACACTTTCTATCTACTACTGCAACAATTTCTTCTCACACGCACACATAACAGGTAGAAGGAAGAGAAAAAACAATACTTTTTTTCCTTCTCTCTTCCTTCCTTCCTTCCCTCCCTCCCCTTTTCATCCCTTCCTAGGGTTTGCAATATGGGTTAGTTTTAATTTCTTAACATTTTTTTGTGGACGCTGTTTGAAAAAAAGAAAAACAGGGTTGTATCACATACACACATAGCTTCTGGGTATTAGACCTGGCTGTACATTTTGTATCTG